GAAACTTTGGCAAAAGCAGTCAGGCAAAAAAAACCCTTTTTTTTTTTTTTTGCTGAAATTATTACAGCAAAAAACCCCACAAACTGTAATAATTTCAAACCCTCCTTGTTTTGGAAAAAGTGACTGCCCTGAGGCTGTGTTTGAATGCAAGCCTCTGCAAGGTGCTGGTGGGCACATGAACAGTTACTGCAGGGCAGCTGATGCATGGAAGGACCCCACTCCCTATTCATTCACTATAAATTATGGATTTCTTCTTACTTTATGTTGCCTTGCAAGATAGACACATTGCACAACACAGAGGTTGATGTAGGTGGAGAGTCCATTGGGTGAGAACCTAAATATTAGGTGCTGGACCTCTACTCTTTGCAGCCGGTAAACATCTGTAGTCTTTTTTTTTTTCAAGAGCAAGGGTTGGCGTTGACCTCAGGTTTTCCATTCCCCATTCCCATTTGTTGTATGATCCTTCAATCTTGCTCTGGGGCAGTTGCATTTCTGCGTCGCATTGGAGTCTGCAGGTTCAGGTCAGGCACCACTCCAACAGAGTGCATGTTTCAAAGTTGGGTCTGTAGTTTGTAAAGCAGTTGAGGGTCCTCTGGGATGAAAGGAGTCTGTGCAACGGTCTCTGTCAGGCTCCTGTGGTCATCATTAGGCATAAAGGAGCAGCTTTCTGGCCACTCTGACCAGTGCATTTTCCAAGTGATGGGGCAGGCTTGAGAAATATGAATCTGAACTTGCTCAAAAACCAGGGGTGTTCAGGTTTTGGTGTTAACATGTCATAGTAGAAGGTTTGGGCGTTAACATGTTATAGTCTTATAGTGAGCATGTATAAGGTTTTGGTTTTAATGTGTCATAGTAGAAGGTTTTGGTGTTAACATGTTATAGTGACTGGGCTAGAGGCCAGGTCTAGACCTAGACTTCCAAACACTGTTTGCATCTTGGTGGCCTTCTTGCTGTAGGGCACCAAGGACTGGGAGATCTGGGTTTAGCACCATGGACTTCCTGTAGGATTTTGGGCAAGTCAGGTCAAGCCAGCCCCACAAAGGCATGCAGGTGCCTACCTCCCATGGACTTCCCTCTCTTTTATTTCAGTAGAAGTTATGAACCCAAACTCCCAGACCCACTATACTGAACCCTTAAATCCTGCTCATCCCTATCCAGATGAGTGCCTAAGTACACAACTGTGGCCTACAAAATGTCTAGGCCTATATTTCTGACCTTGGCTTATATCCTTTGTTGCCTCTCCGTAGTTTCTTTTATAAGCTCTTCAGGGCAGTGATTCTCTGACTCCTTGTTTGTGCATATCTAGTGGAACAGAGTCTGAACGATGCTTGGGGCTGCTGGGCAGGACTGTAATTAAATTATTAACAGATGGGGTTGGGCCTGATCAAATGTTAGATCTAGTGGTGTCTCTACAAAGCTCATACATATACAATCTTCATCCCCTCTCCTCCCCACAATCCTCTTATTTCCAAATGGTGTTGGCGGGGGAGGAGGATTTGGGCTGGAATTTTAGTTCTTAGCAAAAATACAGAGTGACTTGAAAAGGAAAAAGGAGTCTCCAGGTTTGTGAGGCTTTGTATGTCTCCGCTGCCCCGCAGTCCTTCTAAAAACCAAGCACAGGAGAACGGTTATGTAGCGAGATCACCGAAATAGCATGTTTGCGCTGAAGGATTAAACCAGGATGTTTGTGGTATAACATGTAATGACTTGCATAACATGTAATGAAGAAATTGAAATGGAGGCTCTCGGTGCGTCCTGCTGAGTAAGAGGTTTGTTCTACAAGAAACTGTCATATTAAATTCTTGTCCAGACCTCTTTGGATTCCTAAATCTTTTGGAGGAGACTAATCTGAAATCAAAGTGAGGTTGCTCGGGGTGAGCATGCCAGAAGTGGTCACATTTGAAAAAGTTCAATGAACCTGCAGAGAGAGGTTGAAATTAGTCGCTTCACTACAAAGCGTCCAGCCAACCTACCTGCTGATTTGCTTTCTGCTTTGATTCTTCCAGCTCTGCCTTCTCGCCACCTTTTGTGTTGTTTTCCCAAAGCATGCATCTCAAGTGGGAGCTTCTCAGTATTTATTTAATGAAAAACAAACCCTCCGCACTTGTTTGGTGCAGGGGAAACCAAATACAGCTTTAATCACGTAAAGTTCGGGTTTGTTTTTCCACTGTTTTGCCCCCTTCAAAGTCGTGTACAAGTGCGAGCGACGTTATTATTCTGATTAACCGTCACGGCACAGCATTTAATGATTCTGCAGTAAGATAGGTCCTTGTCAGGACTGCATCCTCGGTTCCTGGAAATCAGCTTTGCTCCTTTGAACTCACTGGAGCGGCACCAAGCTACGCCAGCCAAACATCTCACCCGAAACGTTGTCTTCCTGCTGGATCTGTCTTGAGTGTGATATTTGGACATGTCTGGTGTGCACCGAAGGGTAGCACACAGTCCCTGCTAGAAATAGAGGCTGTTTCTGCTGGGCTCTTCTGGCTCATCAGTTGTACCCCCTTCGCCCCCACTGGCAACACGATTCTGGGCCCATCATATTTAGTCTGAAAGCCTTCTTTCTTTCATATGCACACACATAACAAGGTAGATCTATGTTAAAACCATTCCTCTTTTTTTTTCCCCCATTCCCAGTGCTCTGTCTCTTGTGGACGGGGACACAAACGCCGAACTGTCTACTGCTTGTCCAAGGAAGGAAACCATTTGGAAGACGATTATTGCAAACACCTGCCCAAACCAAACGTGGAAAGAAAATGCCGCGGGGGAAGATGTCCGAAGTGGAAAACAGGAGACTGGGGACAGGTAAGATCCTATTGATTATTTAGATGCTCCTGATCTGCTGGATCATTTGGGGCCTAGGTACCTCCTCCTTTCAGTCCTTCTGCAGGCTTTGGAGTGCACATGGTCTGAGTTAGACGCTAAGCTGATGTAAATGGGTCTCACTCCATACATGGCAGTGGAGCTGCACTGATTTACATCACCGGAGGATGTAGCAAATCTGTTTGCATGTGCAGGAAGGTGGCCAGTGGGTAACAAAGCAGTCCTGGCTCTCAGTTTCTTAAGCTGCTGCTCAAAGAGGACTCGGTGTGTGAGACTAACCCGAATCTGATGAAGCCCAGTCATCCTTCTTTTATTGCAGCGTCTAGCACAGGGGCGGGCAATTATTTTGGGCAGAGGGCCGCTTACTGAGTTTTGGCAGGCCATTGAGGGCCGCATTTCCCTCTCTGGTGCAGGGAAGCAGGAACATCTCCATGGTCCCAGGCTAGAAGCCTCTGCTAGGCAGGGGCTTCTGGTTGTGGGGGCAGGGCTGGGCAGACCTCGCTGCTGGGTCCTGCCACCAGCTTACTCTAGGTCCTACTGCCCCTGGCTCTTGTCATCTTTGACAGGCAGCTAGGAGTGAATAAATAGGAGTTTTCTCAAATTTTTAGGGGCCCCGCAAACCGGATAGAATGGCCTGGCATGCCGGATCTGGCCCCAGGCTGTATTTTGCCCACCCCTGGTCTAACATGAAAGCTGCCACTTCTCATTTTTACTAGAAAATGGGGATATTTAGGAACAAACAGCCTTCCTAAATATACTTCATATAATGAACATCCATTCATTAAAAACATACGTTGTTGTCAACTTTTTCCTGCCAGTTGCATGGCGCCGTGCCCACATCAGTTAGCTCGGCTTCGTAAAGAACCCAGGCTTTGTGCTTCAAGTTGCACGGACGTGGAAAAGCTTGGCTTTGGTTCAACCTATGATTTGCTGTGTACCTTAATCTTTTTGCGGGTCTTTCTTCACATTGCTTTCCCATGCTCCAGTATTGAAAAATAATTCTTCATTTTCAATAGTTCAGTATTAATATTTCTATGTTAATGAATTATTTCAGGCCCGAAGATATCCTTCTATTTATTGTATTTGTGCCGCTCCTTTTTTTTTGTTTTTTTGTTAACACTGCCAAAGTCTTTTTAAATAACATTTCACATTTCCCACAACACTCAGCTGCATCTTGAACCCTTTGCCTTGTGTTTTTTCTGCCTATCAATCTTGATTTCTGCATGTACTTTGCCAGCGTGCTAATCCACAGAATTATTGAAGATCGAAAACTAAACGAACTGTTAAATTGTAAAATGTCCTGTTCTGTCACAGTCTTGCTTTCTCTGCCACATTAGTGCAAAAGGCCGGGAATCTTGCTGTATGCTTCCTCTGTTAAAAAAATAAACCAGGAACATATTGATATGCACACACAAACATGCAGTCCCTATTAATACTTGTATATACAATTGTTATCCGCTGTCAAGTATCTGTTAAAAAAAACAAAACCCAATGTTTTCATGATTGTTTTCAGAGTTGGGTTGTTTTTTTCCTTTTCATTTTGAAGAACTAGTATTTGCCTTTCTTAGAAAAAGGGGTAGCCAGACATTCGTCATTTAGGTTTAGTGGTCTTGCAAAACAATGTGGAAGGGCTTGAGAGAGCCCTGCAGGACTCAGAAAAGACTGCTCTCACATTTAAAGTGCAACGGGCATTGTACTGGGTGCAGTCTTAAAGCCTTGATTTTGTCCAAAACCCTACAAGGAGAAGAAGAAATAAGACTATTTAGTGTCTCAACACATCAGCTGTGCACCATATTAAAAGTGACTACTCCAGAAAGCAAATTTTTTGCAGCTAATAAAAGTAAACACACTAATGTAATGGTCCGTTGATTGCTTAAAAATATGCTCATTTTAATTGATAAAAATAAGTGTGTTAGAATTCAAAGCATTCCTTTCCGTCAGGATTTAATTGTATACAATTTGAAAAAGAAGCCCAAGTTAATAAGAGTCTGAGGTGATTTATGGCCCAAGGTAATCTCTTGTGACTAGGCAATTAAAGATTATTTGTATGCTAATGATCAGGCCCAGAATAGGCAAATCATTTCTAGCATAAGAGCTGGATTCTCAGCTGAGGCATCTCAGTTTAACTCCAGTGCAGCCAACAGCACGGCACCAGTTTAACCAGCTGAGGCTAGGGCCCGGAGACGTTAACCGTGCAAGGGAAGATAAAAATACGTCTCAACCCCAGCAAATTAGATCATTTAAAAATACCCAACAATGCCCTGACACAGCTCCTTTACGCTCGGCAGAGTGAAATGAGAGTTGAAGACAGCAAAACTCAGAGCAGTTAGCAGGCTCATGCCACAGGGACGGATACTTCACACTTCTGGAAGTGCTGTTTGTGCCTTGCAGGTGTCAAAATGGGAAGCATATAAATAGCTGGACAATTGCTCTTCTTTTTCGCTTCATATCATGGCCTAAAGGCAGAGATGTTGGAAGAAAAGAAATGTAAATAGTCAGTGGCAGACATCCTGGCCAGATCCTCAGCTGGAGGGGAAACCAGTGGGCTTCCACCCAAACCAATGCAGCTGTGAGGATTTGTCACAGTTGTATCCGGGGTGCCCCAAACATCTGCGCTCTATTTGTGCTCCAAAATGTCACTGGAAAGGTTAGAATGAGTTAAGGACTTGCTTTCTGAGCAGAGAGCAAACAAAAGGCATTGCTTTTATTCCCGTAACAGTTCCAGCACTGAACGTCCATCTACTGCAGTGGTTTACTGGGGGCTCGAAGGAGAAGAAGGCTTAAACCCACACGATGGCTTTGGCGCCCGCTAAAGTTATTGCTGGCAATTCTGGGTGCGGGATATTTTTAGGAGAGAGCCCAGGTATGGCAGCAAGACGGTAGCTAGAGACAGTGCACTGATGCACACCAGATTTGCTGGAGGTGTGCATCAGTGGGTGTTGCACGGATGCTGGAGGTGCGCATCAGTGATGCACACCAGATTTGCTGGAGGTGTGCATCAGTGGGTGTTGCACGGATGTTGGAGGTCCGCATCAGTGATGCACACCAGATTTGCTGGAGGTGTGCATCAGTGGGTGTTGCACGGATGCTGGAGGTGCGCATCAGTGATGCACACCAGATTTGCTGGAGGTGTGCATCAGGGGGTGTTGCACTGATGCTGGAGGTGTGCATCAGTGATGCACACTAGATTGGCAGCTGCCAAATCACCACAGGAGTGGGAAGGTGACCACCGGCTGTATATAGCCATTACAAAAGAAATGCAAAGCCCGGGCACCTTTCATGTGCCGTGAGTGTAGCAAAATGATGCAGTCCTTTGGCTGGAAGGGTGAGAAGTCCTGTGCTGCTGGAAATATTAGCAATGGGCATTTTAAGTTTGAGTACAGCACCAATGGATAAACCCGCTGCTGTAGGATCGATCACCCCCTTTTGTAGCAGATAAAGCAGCAACAGTCTGGGAGAACTACAGCAGCTTTGTCACACAAATATGTTCTCATTGTCACCACACACCCACCATTTGTCGTGTGCACCCGGGGTGCTTTCCTTTGCCTTTTGGGCAATGCAAAATGAATGTTTGTAACAGGATAGCCCAAGTCGCTGCTATCACGGCATGCTCCGTTCCCATGCAAGCACTCTGACCTGCAGTGGTTTGCATTGAGATTCTGGGAAGTTCTCTTCTAGCTAATTATGAATCCTCCTTCCTAGGGCAAAACACCGTGTAATGTATGCGTTAATCAGAAAGAAAAAGTCTCTCTCGGAAAGTAACTTGCGTTTTTTTAACTAAGAACAGCACTGAGATGTCAGATGCAATATGCTTAAGTAGTATCTCTGTGAATTAGGGTCAATAAAGATAAGCAGTCAAAACACCACTGCTTATTCTGTTGCTTATGTAGATTTTGCTTTTACATCTGGCCATCTATATTTACAAGTGATTAACTGTTCTGATGCAGAAGTTTACCTATTGCATTGTTTATGTCCTTTTCCTCCAAAGACAATGGAGAATTTGCACAAAACTACAGATACGCCTGTAGAAATGCTGAACGAGGCAGCAGGCTCATCCTGCCCCACACACAGATGTCGGTGTAAAGTCCAAAGGGTCCTGATCCTTCAGTACATGGAGTAGGGCCCATAGTGTCAGGCCTATTATGACTTGAGATTAAAACAGTCGGCAGGTATAAATCAGCATCCCTTCTTCTAAATCGGTAGAGCTAGAAAGGTACGTTTCACCGTTTGTTACAATAATCATTATTAAAATGAACATAGGGCAGGTTCTCGGTCTTAAATGGCGTTTAGAATAGTATAAAACTCTGCTGCTTTTAAGCCAGGGTAGACGCTGAAGTACGATCTGTACTTATACGTTACAAACAGACCGGCGGACACCTTTCAACTGCAGAGGGGCTTCAAATTTAAATCCGAAGCTCTTTGAAGTCCATGGAGAGACATCCTGTGGACTTCATTCAGCTAAGGACCTTAAGTGCAGTCATCCTGTTGAAGGGTCTCCAGGTCAGTCTCTGTGGCCACCTCCTCCCTGTATTAGGGGAGTCATGAGCATTTAGCAATTATGCAAGGAGTTCCCCTTCTGCTCCTAGGAGCAGGTTTGGGAGCTGGTGGTGGCTGGCTCCCTTGCACAAGGCTTGTTTGGATGCACTCGGGAGATCTGCACAGTCTGTTGTAGAGCGCTACAGAACTGCGATCCTGGCCGAGTCCATACAAACCTCCCACTCCAAGCAATTCTGGCAACTTTCTGTGCACCTGGAGTGAAGGGAGCACTGACTTCAAAGGGGTCAAGGTTTCACTCCCACTTGATTCAGTGGGGGTAGGATTTGACCCCCCCAGTGCATGCAAGGGGGTCAAATTCCCCAAGGGGGTCTGTGCTCCAGCCTGGCTCTTGGATGATATTGCAGAAAAGGAAAGTTCAGTGAAGTGAAGTGCAGCCAGAAGGGTCTTTGGGTAAATCTGATATCTTTTATTAAACCATCTAAATAGTTGGTTTAATAATCTTTTATTAAACCATCTAAATAGTTGGAAACAATTTATTTTAGCAAGCTTTCAGGTTTACAGACCCTTCACCAGGCTGAGGAAGCGTTAGGCACTGGACTCCTAGTACTACAAGAAGGCATCAGTGTCCCTGTTGGTATTGCATTTTTCCGCTCAATTCAAGCGAGCATTGGCTCAGCCCCGTCTGAGAGCGAGCTACAACTTGAACCCGTTCTACCGGTGTCAGTGCCCTCTTGGAAACGGGCTTTTTTTTTAATGCCCAAGCACAAGTCATTGCAAAACATAGCAAGCGACTTGGGGTATGCGTTTCTCTAGCCATGTTTCCATTATTCAGCTTAACTCTCCCTTCTGGAATGCTTAAGATAAACAGGGCTGTTAATCACAATAGAAACATTACACCATATGGGAAGCATTTGCACGCAGTCGTAGAAATCTAACTGTGTTGCGCCGCTTCTCCAAGTCAGGCAAAAAACCCAACCTTTCATAAATATTTGCAATGAGGAGAATGTTCACACTCAGCTTTTCTTTGGTCCCGTTCGCTTGATGGCATGTTCAGAGACAGCAACGCCAACACTGCGTTACAGCCCAACACTTTTTAAAGCTGCTTGGAAGAGGATTCATTGCCCAGTTTAAATGGCTTAATTCCATTACTGAAGGGAGCTTACTTCTATGGGTATTAGACTAATGGATTATAAAATGATTTTCTCTGTATCTCGTGTATTAACACGGCCTTTTGTTCTAATTTCTTCCAGGCAGCAAAAGGTTAATCATAATACGTGCATTGTAAGTGCTGTCCCTAC